GGGGCCACGGGCCGGCAGGAGCGCGCACCTGGGCCTTCTGGGCGACGTCCAGCACCAGCTGGAACTTCTCGGACACCGTCAGGTCCTCCTTCGGCGGCTCCTGGGCCACAGGGAAAGGAACGGCCGCAGAGATTACCGCTCAGAGACGCACTTACAAACCGCACAAGGCCTCCCGCCCGGGGTCAGGCCCTCTGCTGCCCCCACTCAGCCCAGGGACGATGTCCCGGGGGACCTGGCCTCAGGGGCCAGCTCGGGGCACCCCCCCTTGGGCCTGAGAGGGCAGGAGGGCAGGCAGTGGACACCCCCGTAGCCGGCGGGGCCGAGGCTCCCACTAACGGCTCCATTCGTAGGTGCATCTGAAACCATGCAGTGCCCCCAGCTCACTTTACAGGCAGGGAAACTGAGGCAGAGGGGGGCCGGACTCACCCTGCTTGTCTAAGTTCTTTCAACAAAACCCTCCAGAGGGACCCGGGCCTGCTCCAGACATCCTCTCTAACCTAAGGGAACCCTGCAGGCACCACCACACTCGGCACCCCTACTGCGTGCTCCATGCACACAGTAGGTGCTAAAACATCTGCTGAGTTCCATGGAAGCACTGAGGGCTTTCCTGCCCACACCAGCGGTTCTGCCCCAGGGGCCAGAGTCCCCTCTAGAGCGAGGGCAACATGTCTTTTCTGCCTGAGCCACACTGCAAACGTGGGGCTCTGCGGGCCACTCGGGCCCCGTCACAGCCACTCAGCCTGGCGGGGCCAGCCCACAGCAGCCACAGCGCAGGTGAGTGAGTGGCATGGCTGCGCCAACAGAACTGTATTCACGGGGCAGGTTGGAGGCGAGATGCCTACGGAGCTTTTGCCTATGGGGCTGACCCTGCTCTACACATTGCTGGCCCAGCCCACTGTCCCCTCCCTGACCAGGAGGCTGTGGGGGGCTACAGAGGCCCCCTTCGCTGCCCCCCCGCCCCCCGATGTTCCATCCCAGCTGGGAAGGGTCAGTAGAACAGCTGGGCAGGGCAACCTCTTCCGGAGCAGCCG